AGAACTCGGTCGTTGAGCGCGAGTCCTCCGATAGCAGCAGCCCAGCCGCTACATGGTCTGCCGCATCTTCATTTACCTCCCCAGATGGAGTATGGTGGAATCCTACCGACGGGACTTCTCGATGGGCAACAACGATCCGGCTCTCAGCCCGCCGGGTATCAATGATCAATTCATGTCCTGTTGTTTATATGTGTGCCTGAGAAGGCCTGTGATGGAACGCTACTGTAGAGGTTACTATAATCCCTTTTACTTCATCATCATCACCCGCTTATTGAACGCATATATCTTTTCGCATTCATTGTCGATTATTCGACATCACACAAATAGTCGATGCATGATCAATATTGACCCCTCCATAAGGATTGCGTTGATTATTAGTTGGAGTGTGTGCCGTTGGTCGTCTGTGATTATTTCGTTCAGGGCATGTTCGATGCTGAAGTAAACCGTGCTTCTGTTCACGTTATCCTTAGTTGAGGAGCATCCAAGACTTTTGAGTACTTGTACATTCCTATCAAGACTCCCTTGTGAGAGTCCGGTTGATGTTTTCGGGCCGAGAGCCTTCGCTATCTTGACCTCTTCCTAGCGTTGCGACTGCCTCAGTTGTACATGGAGTTATGGCGTCATTATTACGCATTGACACAACGCGAATGAGGGAGAAACTCGCGGCGATTGATCCGGCTAACCGCTTAACCCGATTCAGAGCTGGCAACTTCCTATTTCGTCGCAACAAAACGTTCGCAGCTCAAGAACAGTCGCGCTGAAAGTCTTATGCTACGGTTCGACCCGTTGTTACGGTATCATTGCATCGTGACACTTTCAAGCGCGTTGAAACTGCATGTTGCGCACAAGTTATTATCAAGCGACTGGACACAGGGCCAATAACCCAATCGTCAATCGACCCAAGAACATATCCATCTACATATTTTTGAAAGCTATCGCAATGAGCATCTTTAATGTCTATGTGATATGCTGGTCCAACAGGGGATCGTACTTCATGGTGACCGTGCCGTAATCATATCAGAGGTCTTTGACAAGGATGTTTTTTTTCAACATTTCTTACGACCATCATTCGTACTAACGAATTCGCGAGAATGAACTGATTAGGAGATCTTCCAGCGTCCTGGAACATCACGAGGCTCTTTCGTTGAATCTCAAGCTTATCACTCTGGTACAACCCAACAAATAAAAATCTTTCCAACCAGTAGCACAACCGCTTAACAGTAAATGGCATGCATCTAACAGGCTATAGGATGTCCATTTCTGGACACTGCTTGGACCTCGACTTCTTCACCAACTCACTCAGTTGCCCCTGTATCTTCTCAAGTCGATTCTCCAGTGAAGCCTGAACCCGGAAAATGCTCCATTCGACTGAGAAATTTCAAGCGCGCGCTCACCTTGCGTTTTCGGCTGGCTTCCAGCAGTTCGTGTTTCCTCGACAATCCAGATTTCACTTGATCCAGTTCTGCCGTTGATTTCTTCTGGGACTGTTCAGCTTTGCTCAGAGCAGCTATCTCCACGTTTAGCCGGGACGCTGCATCGCGCACCTGAGAAATCATCAGAGCATGGCATGGCACTCCACGAGTCTACTTCATTGGATTTCTCCTCCTGACTTTTGCGCTGCTGTCTTAGAGCTTCTGCCGCGATGCCCATTTGCCTCTTCAACGGTACAAACTGCTCTTCCAGTTTGCTTTTCTCGGTCTTCACTTTGTCGTAGTCGCTCTTGAGGTTCGTTACGTTCAGTGTCTACAACGAAGTGGATAAATCATGTTCTATCCACTCAATGAGCTAAGGCCATAAAGGGAAGCCTATCGTACCACAGATCGGAGCAACGCCTCGTCCTTCTTCTGGTCCTTGTTTATCACCTCAAAGGAAGACTTCAGAGCTTTCACCGCTGACTCTACAGCCGCCCTCCTAAATGTACAGTTCAATACGCCACAGTGCCTTGTCACTTACCTCTTTTGAAGCTGTTGCTGTCGCACCTTGGCATGCTCGTAACGCTCTGACACATCCTGGAGTTTACTTCGACTATCGGTGGTCGTCTCATGAGCTCTCTCCAGCTTTTCCGAGAAGACAGCTTGTTGCTCAGTCAAGTGGTCATAAGTAGAAGTCTGAGATTCGTAAATTCGGTCATTCCACTGCCAATACAAGTTTCCGCCGATGACTCACATCATTTTTCTCTGCCTTTTTGGTGATATCATTTCTCTTCTGGAGTTCAGCCAGAATTTTAGCCGCAGTCTTTGACTGATCTACAGCTTTACTCAATTTAGCCTTGAGAGCATCGCGATCCTTTTGAGCGTAGTTGACTTCGTTTACGAGATCCTGATTACCCACAGTCACTTGTCTAGTTTGTTCATATTGTCACCTTGACTCGATTCTCGATCATTCCCACTGTGCTATTCGCCCTGTAAAGTGCCAAGTCGACCTGAATGTGGAAGAGATTACTCTCATGTTAAAGTTGAGCGTGGCGAACCTCAGTGTCCAGTTTCTCAATGAGCTCTTCTGACATTTTAACGGCAACTTCTTTAGACGGATTTTTCATGAACTTTCTCAGTTCGGATTGATCCGGGGTATTTCGAGCTCCTGATATAGAGATATGAACGTGACCGCGAAATGCAAGTCGTACTTGTGTGTCTAAAGCGGTTCGCTTGCATAAACGATGGACTGGTTTCATCATCTTGTTCGCTTTCAGTTGACCTGGTCACAACTCTTCGGACCTCCAATAGCAAGAAAATATGTACAACCAACAGCTAAAGCTAACCGTATAAACAGTAGCAGAATTTCTAGTGTGATATATCAGTTAAAATCGGACGAAAAAACATCTACGGTGATTTACTTTGCAACATCAGGCGTAAGTAGACTCTTAGCATGAGCCACCTCCCTTCTGGCCTGCTCCATCAGCCTGTCCGCCTCTGATGACGAGGAGTTGGTCATGGTCTGTCGTTGGGCATCGAGACTGCACAGTAGCAGATTGTGTGTGAATGGCCGTACTGCTGACTCACATTTTCCGAGCTTGCGTGAGTCGGAGAATATCACTGGTTTTCGCATTGTATCTAAACCCGTACCGCTCCACCCACAGTTTTATGTATAGGCATATCACTCTTGTTTAGCTGCCTCTAACTGTTGCTGCGCTAAAGTAAGCCTCTCCTCAGCTTGCTTCAAGTCGCGTGACTTAATCTCTGTCGCAATCCGCCCAAGTGTTGCTACAGAATTTCCATTTCCCATCAAAATCACACTGCTCTCCCTTACTGTTCTTCAACACGGCAGAGTCCACCTGCCTGTCCAGCTCGTCCAGTTGTCGTTTGCTGCTCTCGATTTTCGACTGGTATTGGGAGCTGATTATGCATGTGTGCAGTGACAGCTTGACACGCAGTGAAAAGTACGTGTAACCGTCCAACTCGCTGCGTTTTTCTTTGAGTTCCTTTTCCTCTACTACTGCATGTTGATGTAATTCTGAAGCGTCCTGTACTTCCTTTTCCTGATCGAAGTTCCCCATATACTGAATACCGCAACTATGTCCTTACGAGCTGTTTTAATGCGGCTTCGTGAGCCTTGAGACTATTCGTGGTGACAGCCAAAGCCTTTTCGCGTTCGTCAAGCATTTGACGTGCTTTCTGTGAGGTCCTACAACAGCGGTTTCATTCAGCGATCGTTGGCCGTCGATCTCACTCAGTTTTCGACTCGATGTTATCACGAATCATCTTCTGCTTTGCCCTAGCATCTTGCAGCATACTTCCAATATGAGCACTTTCTGAAGCGACCACCTGTAAGAAATCACAACCACTGGACTTCGGCTGCCAATTCACGGTTGTAATATTCAGGATGTTTTACCTTGAGCTTGTCCTCTATATTAGCCACGAAGCTTTTCAGATCTCCCAGACGCCCTTTTCTGTCCTCTAACACGCCCTGAATAACAGTGTTGGAGAATATGGTCGCTTTCCTCAGCTGAGCTCAGGAGTTCTCTCACTTTCTATGGACGTATACATACGAATTTGGGCGAGAACGTACAGAAACTAACAAGAATTTTCCAACAGAATTCACATATTTTTCCCCACAGTGTTGAGTAGTATCATATTTTCTCAACCCCTGTTCGCGTGCTACCGTTGATTTTTGCAGAGCAGCTTCCTTAGTCGCCAGAGTTGCCTCAGCAGTCTTGACATCCGCCTTCTGCAAAGCAAAGATCCCTACAAGTAATGAATTTCGGGATTTTCTCACCGCAGTGTGAACTCTGGACATCTTGCCCTCAAGCTCGTCGCTGAGCTGCCTGAAAACAAGGGCAATCTTCTGTCGGATTATAAATCTTTTGTTAATATTACACGTTTTACTACTTTATATTAGTACACAATGATATATAATATAAATATGATCATTAATGCCATAATATCAATATATAATAAATTATAAATTATATACTGGTTGTTCATACTCCGAACACTAGTTGTACACGAGCCAGTCTGAATCTCTGATTGACGCCATGAAACACTACCGCAACGCGCTCACATTCACTACGACTTAGTGATACACGTCGATTAAGTTCGCCTCACCCCATTTTATCTTGCAGTTCGTTCTCTCCATCTGAATACTGTACCATCTCCTCTTCTGTTGACTTCACGCTGAGCTCCATATTCCTAACATTCTGCTGAGCCGCAAGAGCTTCTTGATATCTGCTAGTGTGAATAGGACAATACACGTTAGGAAGAGGGAGAGTCGTACATAGTAGAACAGTCGAAGTTAAGGCTCGATGGTGCTTTAGTTGTAATAGAGGGTGTGCTCAGGGTTTTCAAAGCGAAAACAGAGGGAAGCAAGGCCCATATGAGCGGCCGCCACATAGTATGTACAAAGAGATTGATGAGTAATAGCTAACGAGGAAGAAGTCAAATTCGCAGCGATCGGCATTCCAATGCGACTTGTTATTGCGCAGTCACAATCGCGCGCGCCCATGTAATCGATTTTGTTGAAAATTCTCAACGTGAAGATGCGCAAACCTGGGGAACTGGTTGTGGACGATAACATGTCGTGGATCTTGTCGCGCTGTCGGGTTTCGGAACAGCTTGTTACACTCAGGTCTTTGCTTTTGACGTTTTTCTCTATTGAGAATGGCTGCCATCAGGAAGCCTGTGGTATTGGTAACGGGGGGAAGAGGGTTGGTGGGCAGAGCCATTCAGGATGAGGTAGTCATGACTCGAGCAGTCCGAGACTTTCATGTTCGATATCATTTTTACGTGAAGTTTTGGTGAAAAACGCGATATTCGCGGTGATATGCAGTAGTCGTGAAATATATTTTCCACTAGTGTTTTTCATATCAGTAGTGTGGTGAAACTCCAGTAACGTGTGGCTATACTCCAATGAGCCATTCTGGCGAGTGCGGTCGTGAGAAGACAATCACAGCCGAGGCATTTATACTAGGCTGTAGGTTGCCGCTCTTGATGCCTCCTACCCCGGTGGAAACGCAGAGTGGCACTTCGTCCACTCGGGAGATGCCGACCTTCGAGACCCCGAGGCTACGGCAGCTCTCTTCGACAGGTATATGTGGATGTTCTCTATTAACGACTAAGGAGCTTCTTTTAGAGTAAAGCCAAGTCATCTCGTCCACTTAGCGGCCCGTGTCGGAGGTCTCTTTGCTAACATGCAGGACAACCTCGGTTTTTTCGAGGACAATCTCAAGCTTAATAGTAACGTACTTAGTAATGCTGCCCGTGTTGGGGTAAGTGACAGCATGGGAACTCACCCTTTATCAACTAAGCGGCTGTGTACGCGAATCGGTTCATTGATACAGCAACCATAATCTTGCTTGAAATTCATCAAGTAGTCAGAGTGCTCGTCACTAAGTTCATACTATATATTTGACTTATCGCGAATAGAGAATGTGCCTTCCTATATTCAAGTCTGTCTACAGTACTTCTCACGGCAGGTTAAAAACGCCATATTCTGTTTGAGCACTTGTGTGTTCCCAGCTGATGCTAAATTGCCTATTACGGAAGAGGACCTGCATAAGGGTAGCTATCGGTCTTTACTACTCTTCTTATTATCTAACCCTAGGGCCACCGCACTTTTCGAATGAGGGATATGCATATAGCAAACGTATGATGGAATGCCAAGTTCGATACTATCGGAAAGCGTAAGGCTACCGTGGAATTTATTCCTCTGAGGAGGAAACCGTTTTTCATCAGATACAACTTGCCCAACTGGCTGTGTGTGGTCCCGACTAATATCTACGGACCATATGACAACTTCCACTTGGTAAATTCTCATGTCATACCGGCGTTGATCAGGAAGTGCTACGACGCAAAGAAAAACGGCGAGGTAAAAATTATGTGTATACCCTACTATAGGAGTTGGACGCTTTCAGGCATTCGTCGTGTTGGGCACTGGCAAGCCTCTACGTCAGTTCATATACTCAAAGGATATGGCAGTGAGTTTCGAAAGCCGCGTGCTTCTCATATGCGCCCTCTCTCTTCAGAGGATCATCATTCATCTGCTCTTCAAACCGCCACGCACGGGAGATGTAGATTCTAGGGTGGGCCCTGCGGTAGACATAGTTTCGTAATATTCCTGCGATTCGACAACCAACAGTTTTCTGTGATTCGTGTTCATATAGGTACATCTGTTGTGGTGATGAAGACTCTGAGGACGGTGAGCTAAGCATAGCCGATGTGGCCAGGGGCATCGCCAAGGCCATGGACTTCCGCGGGAAAATAAAAGTAGTCTACAGTACATCGAGAGCGCCTTAAATGAAGTGTGCTATTGTTTATAACTTTCAAAATTAAACGAACTCCCCATGGAGAAATAGAACTTGGCGAGCGCTTTTCGATGGTGTCTTTGAATTTCAGATCTGCTTCATAATGCTTAGTGCCATATCGCGTTGATTTACCACAAAGAAATCGGCTTTGAACTTTTTTTGCGCGGAATTTTCAGCAATTTTGCATAACTCGGTTGTGTATAGCTCGGCAGACCCAAGGCATATTTGGAGTTCAAAGATACCACTGGAAAACGCTCGCCAAGATTTTTATATGAGCTGTTTCTCAGTGGGAATTTCGTTGAATTCTGCAATTTTCTGTGGGGCGCTCTGTATGTCGGTGACAATAAGGGGAATTTGAGGGGAATGCTGTTGGTTTTTGAACATTTCTACCCGAACTCGTATGTAAAGTCCTATAACTTGTGAGGAAACTCCTGAGCTTAGTTGAGGGAAGCGATCATATGTTCTTCCAACACTAGTCTCGGCAGCATATGCGATGATCGTGGATTTTCTTATCAGTTGGATGCTACCCAGAGTGATGGGATCTACCGTAAAACTGCAAGTAACAGACGGCTGAGAAGTGAAGTATTGCCGAGTGGTTACGAGTTCACTCCTTTTGAGGAGGGCATCGCGGAAACCTGCCAGTGGTTTATTAAGAATCACGAGGAGGCCCGAGTATGAGTGGAGACAATTCCTCGATGGGAAAATACAGTTGTTGATGCACATTTTAGTGGTATTGTGTTGTGAACAGTAGAGATGGATAAGAAGTGAACTGCTACAGGGTAGAGCCATTTTGCTGTGACACTGTTTGCATTCGCAGCGGAGGTGGTCCTGAGGGTAGCATATTTAGCCAGGACTAGACAATACTCGTCGAACAGAGGAGCGATAGCGATGCTGAGTAAACTAAGTGCTATATAGAGTTATTAACTCTGTGTGAGTGATAAAGGGAAAACCTTGTCAATGTTTATACGACATGCTCCATACGGTTTGGTTCGCTGAGTCATAAGCGACTGTTGAGTTCGGACAGTTGGACAACGTCAATGTGGCAGCGAGGTCTATAATCCTACACGAATAGCATGCGCAGAGTATGCCGTACTACAGAGCGCCCTCCTGCTCTAGCTGATGCTAACGGGTTGCCGGATTGACAACGGAACAATTCGAAGGAACTTTCGAAACGACACTTTCTCAGTCAGCATCTACGACCAAGTCGGAATCCACCCGACGGTCGGCATCATCTCCAATCACGACTTCACTGACCTTACCAATCTCAATAAACGCATCGTTACTGTTGGTATCCACGACATCATCAAGATCGTCGTTGAACTGTAGGTAGCCATCGAGAGCCCACCTCTCATTTCGACTGAGTTCTTCCGACTGAGTAATTTTGGGAGTATCCCTTATCCGTATGCGCTTGGCCGATTTCGTCATTTTCGGACGGTCTACTTTCACACGTTTCCGCACTTGCCCTTCCTTTCGGACGTTGGAAGGCATCATCATCAAATACTGCCTTCTAGTGTGAGAGTAGGCGATTTGAATAGGCAACATAGAACCGTCATCCAGTGGACCGACCTCCCGGAACGATTTGCAAATAGCTCTATCGCAGGGGAAGGGCTTTAATAGTATAGCGCAGCGCCCTGAAGGGTAATAAGGCATCACGTATTCGACCTCATGGCCAACAGTATTCTCCACGGCAGTCTTCACTGTCTTGGAAACGTCATCGATCCAAGATGAACCAGGAGAGCAGGTAGGGATGGGGGAAAGGAGCATAACACCACCACAGGCGTCTCGGGGGCTGTTGGGCCACTTGAATGGGGGTAGACCAGATGCTCGGGGACGGACAAACTCCTCGGATGAGAGCTCAACGTATTGAGAGGTAGCACAGACCTTCTCTAAAGCGGGCATGACCTCATCCTTAGCTGCTTGGTGGCGACGTAGTAGTGGGAAAGTGAGTAAAGTTGTGACAGGGAGACCTTCAGGACCTGCCATAGAACAGGGTCCACACGAGGTCTATGAGTACACGAAACCGAGACAATGCACTCCAGCTGAGCGGTTGGAAAACAGTAGCCAGGGTAATGTATTGTGAACACCCCAGTACTACTTTTCAGAAGCCCTCTTAAATAGACGTCCCGCCGCAAATTCTCATCAGAGAAGTAGAAATTCACCTGCCTGTCGACCTTGGACGTTGGGGTCTCGAAGGTCATGCAGGGATATCGAAAGCTTCAACCTCATCCGCAGTGTTGGAATATACGTCTGCTTTCCTCAGCTGAATTCAGGAGTTTTCTCACTAATTGTAGAATTTATGGTAGAGAATTTCCCTGAAATTTGCTCAGAATTTTCTCATTGTCACCATCACATTTGCATATTTTCACACTGCTCATCCGAGTCTTGAAAATTTCACAGCTTGCGAATTTTACGGTATTGGAGGCCGTTTCCTCTGAGGAAGCAAGAATGCTCCTCGTCCACTACTGAGCAGGGAACATCATCTTGACGAGTTTATTGCTACTTAAAGTTGGTCATCCATTGGAACCGTCAAAAAGTTAATTTTCGAAAATTGCGAAACATTCCACGGTCTTGAGCGAAGCGACGCGAAATGTTGCGCAAGTCGAATTATCGTATCTACTACTACCTTTAAGGTCTTCTTTTTTCCTGAATGCCTAATAGTCACCGCGGTCGGAGGCCAGAGGGCCCGGATGTGGTCACTCTGCCTCCCACTGGCGTCCTCTCCCCAGATCTCAGGGCAAGCGGAACTCATCATGTAGGCCTATTCGGAATGGGAATCTTATGTTCACTCATGCAAGATTCGGATGAGGTCGGAATCAACCATCGCTTCTCAGGGTTCAGGATGCTTCACTCGCTGCCATTTTCACTTCGCCAATGATGCAGTTGAGGTTGGTGACACGGTCCGGGTTGTCGGTGGTCACCCGTCCCTGGGCAGCTGGGACTATAAAAAAGGTCCTTGCTCGTCCCCCTTCGCAAGTCTACGGCTCATCCTATTCAGGCCTGCCTCTGTGTATTCGGCAAGCCCTTTATCCGTGCTGGTTCACGGTCGAGCCGGCCATGTTGCCGCTGATGCGTGTGACCGAGTATGCTTACGTCACAGTGGGCCCCAGTGGGAACCTCAAGTCATGGGAGAGGACTGATGCTGACCAAAGGGTCATTCGACAGGTCGTGCGGAGGTAGTCCTATTGGAGTTCGTTGAATCAATTTTCCAGGTTATACCGAGTGGTATGGAAATGACCATTGAGGACGATGATGGTCTTTATCGCTACCTGTTGACGAGGGGCGCCGCAGCAAGGGTAGGGAGGTGTAGGTCTGCTGGATGACTTCCTTCTTTAGCTGCAACAAGCTGACACTACCACGGCATCTGGTTCCAGTGGGGGAGCGGTAGACTCAGCAAGCCTTGAGTCCGGGGCTGCCGGCAGGGACCCCTCTAGTGGCGAGCTGCATATCCCCCTACGACCGTCAGGACCCTCACAAGAGTCTCTCCCGAGGGTGAGGGCGACAGGCGTTGCTGAGGAGCTGATTATCCGCTATAGGTCCGATCGGCATTTTTTGACGCTTCTATTACGCTTACGCCTGAGGACTGCGTCGTTTTCGTCAGCATCCAGCTGCCAGTGCTGGTCTGTAGAAAGTAGTAGTGCTACTGTTAGAATTTTCTATGCATACCGTAAATTATATACTTCAGGGCCGGAGGAGGCTTCGAGGTGTATCCGAGTAGATATGTGTCGATGTCTACTCTACACGCTGTTAAGAACGAGCTCAACCCAAAGCGATCACTATTCGTCGGCTGGCCCGGCTTGGACTACCTATCCAAAGAAGGTGAGCTGGTTGGCTTCGTGGGTTGTCGTTACTATACGGTGGAGGGTAGATGTACCCTTAGAGAAATGAGTGGTATTGAATTTCTGTTCAGAACAAGATGAAGTTCGTCGAGTGCTGAAGCCGTATGACTGCATACCTGTATTTTCTAGCGATCCGGAGCAGAAACGTAGAGGTAGTAGAAGTAGTAGGGGGCTTGTGGAAACCAGTTTCATACGATTCCGTTTGAGCTGGAGGGTCTTCCTACAGGGTGTCCGAGAAAAATGTGTTTTTTTTTGAAAAAAAATTGTGCAAATTGAATATTCAGAAAAATCTCATACCATTCGGAAGCTCTGGTGAAGAGCTTTCAGATGGTGTCAGAGTTGTTGGAAGACTCGCGAGCAATTTAACTTCTCGTGGTGTGGTATGGGATTTTTCTTAATCTCCCACTTGCACAAAAAGTTATTCGAAAAGGCACATATTTCAGAAAAATGTGCTTTTTCGAATAACTTTTTGTGAAAATTTTTTTCTTGGGACACTCTTTATGATGGAGCCGGAGCTGCAATACATGATCGCTTTCCTCAGCTGAGCTCGGAAGTTTTCTGACTAATCATAGGAGCTCATATACGAATTAGGATAGAAGTATACAGGAACCAGCAAGAATTCCCAAAATTTCCTCAGAATTTTCATGTTGTCACCAACACATGTGGTTGACCATGTGCAATTTTTACCGCACTGGATGGAGCTGTGCTCAGGTCCGCAGCCGGCCCGGCATGGCTTTGAGGAGTTCCTCGATTTCTGTCAAACTTTCCTGTGGCCAACAGTGAACGACCAAGTGCCGTTGGTGCACAACTCTGAGGACCTCATGACATTCGATGTGAAGTTGTGGGATAAGTAGGCATGGCAGCAGGGTAATCAGAGAGGGTACGGTGGCTGCATGGGAAGGTACCGGAACGCGAACCAGCGGTATGTGGATGTGCTGTTGAATGCGGATCTCTTCCCGACGCTGGCCGATAATGGAGAGTAGTAGAGGGGGGGGGTTCGCTTCGCCCGGGGATGCGTAGTGTAGTTGGCTGCATTTGGCCGGCCCCGTGGCCTTGTGGGTTCTGCGATGAGGAGAAGGATAGAAGCGTGGTTGGGTCTCCATTAAATGATAGGCGCATGAGTATCATATACAATGGAGTTTCACTCGTTTTACGTGGAGTGGCGTAATACTCCATGTAAAAAATGCTAGATATTCGTCGTATGTAGTGACTTGAAAAATAGGTTTTTTCATATCACGGGTGCAACTCCAGTATATCGTCGCTCGTCGCATAATACAACTGATGTGTTCGCAACCACCGTATGTATTCCAGATACGTCTATTGGGTTAACGACTATCACCTGTTATTGGTGCCTATGTTGTTGAGGAAGGGCCTCCGTAAGAGTCAGAGAGGCTGGGCCTCGCCGCCTTTGAGCCCCTCACAGCTCTCGCCTAGTGGCAAGTCGCCAGCTAAGAAGCCTACGGTGGGGAGGGCGGAGATCTTGCAATCTTGCGTCATCTTGGATTTCCTCTAGATTGGTCTGTTTCTTCACACTCCGTTCCCGACCTCTGAAATCTTCTTGACGCTACCGGTACGGACGCAAGTGATGCAGTCCTTGTTGGCCGCTGATTTGGTGGGCTTCCAGTTTTTCGATTACGCGAGGTAGTTGAGGGGCGCACCTGGGCGGTTAATGATGCGCGAGATTATCGGCATTCAGTGGAAGATCTATATGCTCGCTCTCATCGGCATTGACATAAACATTCGGGTCGAAGTGTATAGGAGTCGTGAAGAATTTATCAAAAAATTACCTCAGAATTTTGATATTGTCACCAACATATGTGGTTGACCATGTGAATGTTTTCCCACTCAGTGACGATGGGTGATTAGTGTGCTTCAGTGAGTAGGATTTGTTCTGCCCGACGATGCAGTGTTGGAATATATGTTTGCTTTCCTCAGCTGAGCTTGGGAATTATAGGAGTTTACAGTAAATCAATAAGAATTTTCTCCCAGAATTTTCATATTGTCACCAACATATGTAGTTGACCATGTGCATGTTTTCCCACACTGGTCGAGCTAATACGACTTTCCGGTCCAGCGTCTTGATTCGTGGCATGAATATCACTCTTGGTTGGAGTTGACCGATGAAGGGCTCCTTATTTTAGGCATTTCCTCACAGTAGTGAAGAAGCTTGTGGGTTTGGATATGTCGTATAGGCTGTCGGACGGGTACCTCGCATTAGACGTGCCCTACAGCTTCGTATCGGGCGCACCGGCCTCGAGTGCCTCCTCTCAGCAGAGGCATCAGGTAGGTCGTCGTGTTGTAGGCAGGAGTCGTCTCAATGGGGCGGGCAGGTGTTGGTGACGGTCGGCCACGCCTCGACACAGTTCGAGCTCATTGCTGCCCAAATGCGGGCCCCAGAGGTCCTTAGGCGTATCAAGGAACTTAAGACTAGATTCGCTGGGAAGACTATTATATGTAAGATGCTCCAGGTGGGCACAGGGAAAGAATGAGGTTATGCTTAGGTGGCGTAGACAGGCTGGGGAGGCTTTCTGGCATCCTCTTGAAGCTGAGGACTTTCCGTCAGTTCCTCAAGGTGTATCCAGCGTATAGGAATAAAGTCGTGCTTGTGCAGCTGGCAGTGTCGAGGACCACGACTACTCATACTAGTCCGGAAAACAGAATCACACTGGCGAAAAGAGTAGGGCGGAGCGAAGTTTTTTCCCCAAATTTCTATTGTAGCGGGTTGCGAAATTTTCCTGGTATCGGACGAGACTGTGTTTTCATGTCCGTAGATATCAGCTTTGGCAAAGGAGATCAACGACAGTATGGGTCCTCACGTATTCTTCTATGCGGGTGATATCGAGACGGAGGATAGGCTGGCGACTATGGCGGTATCGGATCTGTTGCTGGATACTAGTCTTAAGGATGGACTCAACTTGACGCCTTTTGAGTGAGACGGAATTTCGTGGCGCAGTGACGATTTTGTTTGCACATTCCTCGAGTCAGATACCTTTCGGCTCGCTATGCGATGTCCCTGAATGTTGACGAAGATCCTAGTGCGTCGCCAAGCTGCGTCCTTGGCCATCAGGGCGCGTTGCTGGGCCGCGTGGTGTGTTCGGAGTTCTCGGGATGCAGCCAAGTATTGACAGGCAGTCTCAGAGTGAACCCATGGGACACAGAAAAAGTCCTCAATATGCTAGACGAGAGCCTCAGTCTACCTTTACAGGAGTTGACTACTCGGTGAGGCTCGCTCCTACTACTGTACTGCTCTACTATTTCTGCTTGTACTTGTGGCTGCAGATTCGCGAGGGACATTTCGTATGTTACGAGTCATAGCCTGTTGAGATGGGCGCAGGGGATCATCAACGACTTGGCACGGTGTCGGGCTCACTATGTATCGAGAATGTCTAACCCTGATGCTGATAAGGAGGTGTGTGGGCTTGGCGTAGTAGTAGAGGCTTCTGCTTTCGCATATTACCTTCGGCTGAAATGTGGCAACTCAGTTGGTGCCATCGTAGGTCGCTTGGGGAGTTAAGGGCAGCTGCGAAGTTCTAGCGCAAATCGATGACCATAACTTTTTTAAACTCGATGTCCCTCGGATTGTAAGGGACTATAGTAAAGCCAAGAGGAGGATATTCTTCCTCGATAATGAGGGTACACTGGCACCGGACCTCAGGAGGATGTTCAGACACTCTGAACCAGAGGTCAATCGGGAGGTAGTAGTAGTAGTAGTAGTACTGGTGGTCATCTCGGGTATGCGACAGTCCAATTTATTCAGTCGAATGTGCTGATGTCGCACGGCAATCCGCCCTCGGCAGCAGTGTTGGACTCCTTGTCGAAGCTGTGCAGTGATCCGAGGAACACTGTCGTGATTCTGAGCGGCAGGGAGAAGTCGTTGCTACAGGTGAGCTACTGGTGGTGGCTGGACACATCTCGAAGGTCGCTTTAGGACTGGTTTGGTTCTGTGCGTAATATTGGTCTAGCGGCTGAGCATGGCTACTACTGGAAGCTTCCTCCCAATACTATGAAGAGGCATGTGGGGAAACTGGGCGAGGAGGTAATGAGGAGGGGCCAGTTTTAGGAGTATCGCTATATGGCACTCTGATGGGGATGATTCACCCGCGAGTTTGGTAGTAGGAGAAATTCTCAATTGAATGACAGTTGTTCTCGGGAGGTTGAGATACAGTACAGGTGCCGATTTTTGTGCTTTAGGCCAACGTCGCCTCCCCAGTGGGTCCTGACGGATGGGCGTGTCTATTGCCCGAGGCATCGGAGGCTGACGCGAAGAAGGCAGAATGGAAGGCGCTTGCGGGGGAACTCATGCGGCAGTAGGACGGCAGTGCCTCGCTAGGGAGGAGCTGGAGGCGGTTCTTTCTCGTTGTGTAGGTACGTATCCAGGACGCAAAACTCGTTTGTGGAAAACAAAGGCTCCGCATTGGTATGGCAGTTCAGGGACACTGATCCTGATTTTGGTCTACATCAGGCAAGTGCTTCGCTCCGCCTTTTTGGGCTCATCGCCTGCGTCTTTTTTTCAGGCTAAAAATTTATACTCATCTTTAGAGGAGTACCTGAAGGGGTATGATGTTGAGGTCACTATGGGGAAGGGCTATGTAGAGGTGGGTCGGGGCGTGAGGAAGGGGGAGGGGTGACTGTGGTGTGGTCAGGCGAAGTTGAGAGGGGTCAACAAGGGGCTGGCAGTACAGACTATATTGGCGAAGTTGGCCACTGCTGGAAATGACCAGTCACCAGACTTCGTGATGTGTATTGGTGATGACCGTAGCGATGAGTAAGGCGAACAGTTTGCATACTCGGTAAATAGTAAATGTGAGCAAGGTACATGTTCGAAGCACTGAATTCGATGTCGGTGTCGTTGACGGCTCATCCGGACTCATTGGATCACGCACAATTCGTCCCTGGTGTTGGTATAGTCCGCTCAAGTGGGGTGGAACGAGAGTTGTCTTCGGAGGAAGAGGAAGAGGAAGCTGAGGCTCCACAACGGACTAAGGTGCAACTCATTTATTATTATAGTGGCGGTGGACAAGTTGCCTTAGAGCACTCCGGCTACGGGTGTCCAGCCCTCAGCTGAGAACACCTTTACTCAGCGTATGTGGATGCGGTATTCGTCTCGAGCGTCTCGGCCGAGTCATACGTCGGACCCTTCCTCGAGAGTAGTGGGTGCTGCGAGAGTGACGAGGAAAAAGAAGAAGTCGCCTAGCAGGCAGGTAAGGTCTAGTTCTGTCCTTGGGCTGGCTTCCTCTCTATGGGCTGACGGCCCTGTTAGTTCCTTTGGGTGTGACCACTCCTCGCAACAGTTGAAATGGTCACGACCATTCGTATTGCATGTGCAAGGGTTCTGTTTCCTGAGAGCTAGTGGGATGGATTTTATGCAGAAGTCTGTGCTGGAACTTCGAACTAAACGATGCACAATTCTCAGCGTCGTTGCTCTTCCACGTTTTAGTCAAAGAATAAAGAAGTGTATTGCAAATACACTGTCACAGTGGGCCGGAAGCCGGGCTCACAAGCGCATTACTACGTTCACGATGTGCACTCGGTGACGGACCTGCTGGGTAGACTGGCTGATGAGACTTTGTACCCTCGGCAGGAGGCTAGTGAGGTCAATGCCGATAGCCCTGCTTCGCCACAAAGGTGCGCCACTTGTACTGTTGTTGGGTCTGATCTTGTATTGACAGATTCGCTGTCCACAACTCTCAAACGGTACCGGCGGGAAATAGTGCACAGTTCGTCCAGAAACCGCACGTGCTTGAGGAAGCCCCCATTATGGAAGGGCCCGAAGATGAGCCTTCAAGTGAGGGGGTTGGTCATGTGATGCGTTCACTGGGTCTTTAAGGTCCATCGCGTCCTCCTATTTGGGAAATTAAGTTCCCCAATGCTGACTCCTCGGACTCCCTTAATGACGGCGCGCCATAATGTTGCGAGTCGTTGGGCGGTTATTGATTTCTTATATCGTGTCGTACCATTCAGGAGCTGAGCTTCCAGAGCTTGCTGTAGTACTATTTCCATCGTTTTTGCTGCTTGCGAGGATGACCCACAAGTTTATATCCTCCCTTGTGTGTAGTTCAGTCAATAACTAGTCGAAAGAATAAGAAGAACAAAATTCGACGATCGGAGGAGTTACATCAACCGGCTGTTGACCTCCTGTTGCAGTGCATGATAGTGAGGCTGATTGATTGTAAATAGCTAATCCAATAATCAGCCCCAGAAGTGATTACAGCGCACTGGTACCTCCCTCTATATAAAGTGAATTGGAGGTTCTCATGTCAGCCCATCATTCGGCAGCCTCCTCGGAGCTATCAAACACCCCGTTCCTGGTGAGTACTCACATCGCGCGTCGACAGTTGAAGAGTTCTTCCCAAGTCCCTTTGCGGAATAGCTGTAATTATTTACCAGAATTATAGTCCGTAATGGATACGCCGACAAACATGTGGTTCTGTATCTGTGGTGAATTTGATTCAGCACAAATTAGAGTAGGGCAACCGAGGGGAGCTGAGGGACCGAGGTAATATCGTACTTGAATAATACGCCGTATTGTTCTGACCGAGTAGCTCGGTGTTCAACACCGGATGTTGCGGTTCTGTCGTGCGCAGCCATCTTTTGTCAGAGCACCTGTCCGCTGCCGAAATTTCAGTCCGAGCTCATCTCGGCATCCCATTATTGCTGACTCAATGCCTTTGGTTATACCCCTGCCTAAGAGAGGGGTGGACTGTGCGCAGGATATCAGACTATGGAGGTCCATTTATGGAGCAAGGTCAATGACGACTAAGACCGTTGTGTAGAGGGGGGAGACAGTTGGATTAATCTAACTTGCAAGAATTATTTCCCAATCGATGTAAAATAAATAAGTTTAAACTGAAACAATACACTTATTACCAAAAATAGTATGTAATGATCCTAAAGGATACCATTATCTCTGTAAGTATTTTATTAACTGTACAGGTTTTTAAAATAGTCTCTGATATATTTCCTAAAAATAATTTCCACTCAGTTGAGCGTCACAAAGAGCGCTAGATTAGTCGAGCGCTCGCCGGGACGCTAGAACTTCTCACTTGGAGAGGCCCAGTTGCTGGAAGTCAGCACCTGATGGGATACGTAAGAGGCTTCTCCCGCCCACTTGCACCCTCTAGAGGTGTAGGGGCCTTTATAGCATCGTCAGTTCTGTCATAATGTATTTGGTTTTAGACCAAAGCTCGAACTATGACTTACATTTTCGACGATGATGTAAAAGGCGCCATCGGGAAAACCAACAGCACCAGAGGGTCAACTCTCAGGTGTGTTTAGTCACAAATAGTGCGGATTATGGTTTTCTCCATGGCAACCACCCAAACCACTATACCTCTACACAACAGGATATCAGGAGGAATTGAAGGGTTTTCCGCGCGCAGATGCAATCACAATTTCACCTTTGCAATCGCGTGCAATTTTGACCCGAAGCCAAATTCACGATTGAGATTGTGAAAAAAATCGACCAGATAGGCGAGAGCCGGAGCAACCGCGCAGTATCCGCCGAAGGTGGATAAGAAAAATCGGTGGTTCCTCTGCCATATAGGTCTCTACGCGTCATCGTCGCATGTTGGTGGCCGGGGTTCTCTCGGTGGCACCGGGAGAACCCGCTGCACATGCTGCATGTACGAACTTAATGATGTATGAACTAGTGTTTACCGGTCATAGCTGCACGAGACTGTGGTGTACGAATCTGCAATGTACTAAACACGAATGCATGATTTACTAAATCATACATTCGTCAGACATTCACTAAATCAATGATTCAGCAATGATTCAGCAATGTATTGATTTGCGCTGAACTGACTGACACTGTACGTGGTAAAACGGTACGAAACGAGGCTGTACGATATGATGCTGTGCTGAGTAAAGGAAGATGATTCAGTAGTGACACTACTGTAGTGTACGAATCAAAGGTGTATTATCTGCAATTGTATGAATTGCAACTATATGATCCTCACCGACTTCAGAAACTCTTTGGAAATTTCGAACCCCTTGGGAATTTGCAGAAATTTTTGAAAATCTTCTGCGGGAATTTCATGCGCTAAGGGCCAGGGCCAACTCTAGATTTTAGGGGAACGTAGTATTTGATGAACCTTGGAGCTGATAACTTGACGATACTGCTGCCGAGGTTTAGAGACATCGACGACCCCTGCAGCTCACCGGTGTGGCGCGCATCGTTCGCGGCCTCCTTGTCAAGGGGTTTGAGACGTCGGCAGCAAACCTGTGAGCACGAAGATCCGCTTGCAAATATGCGCGCGACGATTTATTCGGTGATAAAGGTGGACCGCTCTGATGGATCTCCATAAAGTTGCTTGCCGCTTCGGCGACAAGAAGTTCTCATCGAGAACGGTGACGCGACGAGTAAGGCATTCAGTGTGGTCTCGGAGGCTGACACGTCCACTTGTCAATGGACAATTGATGGTTGCAAACTGCTACTAGGATTTGCGCGGAATACTATGTGCTGGGTGAACTGTATATCCTCTCATCCATTGGTCTGTCGCTTGTAAGTCAACAACGACATAGCTAGTATAGGTTACAACTTGTAACCTATACTATACTACCTATACACGGCGCTATCGCCAGATTGGCGACTATGTACGACAACGAGATGTCTACCAGCAGCTCAATTTTCTCCCGGCAATTCAGTATCAGTGGTTGCCTATTGGATTTGCCAGACTTTCCTTCTTAGCAAAAGAATGAATGTACGATAGTAGCGTAGCGAACCGAGTCGAGAATAGAAGGCTGTGTCACACAGCCTGTGTGCAATAAAAGGAGAATTGAACCGATCCGAGGGCTATATTGATGAGCTCCGTCTGGCACCGTAAGCTTACCTGATGGAATGGAGAACGTTCAAAGTACGTAGTCGGTGACGACGTCAGTAGCGGTCTACAATGGGTGATCCGATCGCCCATTGTAGACCGCTACTGATGGTGGTGGGCCACCACGAGTCTCGAGCTTTTCCGGACCACCACTGGTGGTGTCAACTCCGTCGTCGTTCCTAAGTCTCCTGTGGTGCCGATAGTAAGCTGTGTCCAAATCCACGTTCACCTCAAGATCGAGTGCGACTTCACGAGCAGCTTGGCACAGTTCATCCCATTGGCATTTCATTGCGAGTCCTTTCTCATTGAGACCGTCGAGAATCGAGACTTCACGAGAGAAAGTGACAGACTTCTCCTGGAATTCGAGGCTAGCATTATTGATGTCATCAATTTGATGAAGGTAAATAGTCTGTACCAAAACTGTCATGGGTATGCTCTCGAAAGTGCAGAGATACTCGAGCGCGCTTGTTGCAGTGCTCAATGCGGAGTCCCCGGCCAGCACTCTTCGCTCCAACAGAGCCTCGAGAGCACGGACGATAGCCGCGTAGTTAACCAACAAATGTTCAACCGACGCAATACGAGCGCTCCTCCGAGTATTGCTAACCGAGTGGAGTGCAGATACTCCGAATTCCTTCAGCACAGTCCAGCGACCCGGGCTCGAAGCGAAAAAGGTATGAAGATTATTAACATACGAGAAAAAGACATCACCGCATGATATGCTTCCCACGCAATCATTAACCAGGTTGTGCAGCGCACGGACTCAATAGAGCGAGCTTTTGAACTCGCTCAACCATCACGCGATCTCCGTTATGCCGACCACTCATCACTGCCGCATTATCATAGGATTGTGACAGTCCTATGTGGACAGTCCACATAGCTTTTCAAGTGGGAGTTCCAAATCCTCCAAGAAGCGGAATAATTGACCTGTGAGTCCCTGGGCCGACTTGTCGTGAGCGGTGCCAAAGTGGACGAGCCGTTCCTTCACATAAAGACTGTGGGTTTGTCCAACACATAGCGAATGATGAGGACCGTCTGTTCAACATGTGCACGGTCCGGAGTCGAATCCACAATAATGCTATAGAAGTCAGCCTTCCTCCTCTCATCCAGAATTCCTTGGAGAACTTTATTCGAGACCACCTCGATCAGCTCCTTCTGGATCTTCCACGACAAGTGGGCTGCCAGCCTGGCAGCCCACCTGGCAGTGCCAGGCAATCGTCGAACTATGATAGTAGTTCGACTGAGCCCAAGAAGTTCCCGTTGTTCGCTTCACCAATACGCTCTTCGGAGCCACGAAATGCAAGACTACGAGTAGCCAAGAAGAGAGTGATTGCCAAGAGACGTCAGAAAATTTAGACCATTAGCGATCTCGGGCTGGTAAAATTTAGACCATTCTTGACCCCTTTAGCGATCTCCCGCTGGATAACCTCCTCCACCACTGAATCAATACGAGGCTGCTTCTCTTCTTCATTCAAGAAGCTCTTCCAATCCAAGTAGCTCGTCATGTGGGCGACGCTCTTTTCATGACCGTATATGTCCCGAAGTATGTTTGCTCCACACAGCGATGCCATCTTTAGAAGCAATCTTTCCATCAGCAGACGTGGACCTCCCGAGGAGAAGACAGGGGTAGCAACATATACCACGAGGTTGGGAATTGTAGATTATCCAATCGCGTTTCCCTTTAAGACCTCCGGCTTCATACGATGTCAGATCATCTGACTCAGATGAGATGGGAACATTTCAACCACTGGGAATTCAGGACAGGATCTGATACGCATCACCAGGGCAGTTCTCCATTTCCGAGGCATTTCTACGGGCCATGTCCACGTGTCGGGAAGGGGAACCTTTAAGAATCACCTTCTTCGACTAACAGCTATGCAATGAGACTCACTGGTAAGACGTCACTTTCACCCATTTCGTTCTTCTCTTGACTTTTGTCCGGACTGGCTTCTCCATCTTCTCTCTTTTCGCCTTTGTTCTCAAGTGAGCAAATTCCCTCTAAGGCAGTACATTTTTTCTCAGAATCAACAACCTCAGCCCTTGTGTCACTTGACAACTGTTTGAACATTGCCTACCAAGCAAGAGTTTAAACAGCTTGATTATACCTCAACTCTTTGCGTTCAGTTTAGTACCTCAGCGGCGAGACGCTGCTTCTTCACCTCATGCTCTCTCAGCTTGGCGACTTTGCGTTTTGGGCCCCACTCAAATACTTGCGATTTTCGGACATTGGGTATGTTCCAAAAAGACCTGGTTTCAGATGAAGCTCAAGGGATTCCCATAACGAATCTCCTGATGGGAGTTGTGCTGCTCTCTTCTCGAGGGAAAGCTTCAAGCAGCATATGCGTCATTTCCGCAGAGTTCATATGAGTTGTCGTATGAAGCACTGCCCAGCCTTCCGGAATCCGGATGACCCCTGATGAGTCATCAGTGATGACCGAGGCCGACAACTCGAGCAACGATCGGACAGTATCAACATTCCCATAACACACCTAAGGGACGATACACGGTGTTGACGAGCGAGCGGCGTTGCTGCCGGCTACCGCTGTTGTGAGAAGTGTCGTTTCCGGTCCGTCCGAGTGTTCATAATCTACAGTACTATGGGAGAGCGCCTCCAGCGAGCGGCCGAACCATGTCCGACTCTCCGAGCACACATGCAGTTATAATCGCATCGCCTAGAGTCTCTTTCGACCACAGAGGGGCAGCTCCCCTCGAGCCACTTCGACAGGGGGTCTATATTGGACGCGGCGACCGATGAGGTGATGATGGCGTTGCTCATTGGATCAGATGACACGGAAGACATGCGCGTCTGCACTTCCTTCCCATGCCGATGGTGATATGTTGAAGATGAGCAGGTCGTCGGCTACGAAATCTCAAGGACAGTTCCTAATTCCACTTCCACGGTCTTATGCAGACGGGAAGCAAGGACAGGATCAGCAACATAACGGGACAGAATTGTGCACGCGTACACATGCCATACCACATTTTCTTGAACATCCTTGGAATTCCACAAACGCACACTGTGTAATATGTGATTTAGTGGGAGCTTCGCATATGTTCGTGTGGCATGAACGCAGTAGCGTGTGTAGAAATCGCCTGTAGTGTAGCATAGTGATTATAGAGTGTGGTAACCACGTGAGAGGTCCCAGTCTTGTAGAGCTGTAGTAGGCCCCCCTTCGGCAACCCCGACCCCGCGAGGCAGCGCCTTGGCGATTCCCAACAGAAAGGCTAATCTCTGAGGTAGTTGCGAAATGGAAGGACGGAAACAGTCGGAGACTCCCTAAGTTGGCCCGCCGGTGATGTCACTGTTGACTCCTGTGCTGGGCCAAGCTCCCGGCCTGACTGCGGTAGTCGGCCCTTTTATAACGATGATAGAAGTGCTCACTAACTGAATGCTGACAAGTTAGAAACCAGGTGAATGCACACAAGTTCCATGTCGTTGTTGAGCCGCTCGAGTAGTTCATCTTGAAGATCTTCCTATTAGGAACAGTTGAGAAGTTCCTAACTAAGTGTATCCCTGCACTGCAGGAATGCACTGGGCTGCAGGAGTACTCGACTGCCAGTCGAGTACTCTTGGCAGGGGGAGTTCAGTCATGAGTCTCTTTGGTGGGCATCTGAAACTACTTGTTACGTTATGGATCTCAAGTATATGTATACGACGTTAGGAAGGCTCAGTACGAGATCGAGCATGAAGTTGATGTTATGA